ATGGATATGGAGGACAGTGATATTCAAATCATCAAGGTGGAGTCTATTGGGGAGGTAACAGACATTAGGAATAAGAAGGATCAGAACAGATTTATTTCTTCTGAACAAACTGCAATGCATTCATCTGAGCCTCAACACTTTCTAATCAACTCCACTGTTGAAAACAGARCAAGTGAAATGGAGCAAAACCACCTCCACAACTACGCCCTCTCATACGCTGGTAGCGATAACATCATTCTGGCCTCTAAAGATATGTTTGGGCCTAACAACCGAGGTATAGACAAAGGTCTGCAGTGGCACCATCAGTGTCCAAAGTGCACAAGAGTGTTTCGGCATTTAGAAAATTATGCTAATCATTTAAAAATGCATAAATTATTTATGTGTCTTCTCTGTGGCAAGACATTCACGCAGAAAGGCAACCTCCACCGGCATATGAGAGTACATGCAGGCATCAAACCTTTCCAGTGTAAGATCTGTGGGAAAACGTTCTCTCAGAAATGTTCTTTACAGGACCATCTCAACCTGCATAGTGGGGACAAGCCCCATAAATGTAACTACTGCGACATGGTCTTTGCGCATAAACCTGTTCTGAGGAAACATCTGAAACAGCTGCATGGTAAAAATAGCTTTGACAATGCCAATGAAAGAAACGTTCAAGATATAACAGTGGACTTTGATTCATTCACATGTAGCACTGCTACAGACAGTAAGGTCTGTCAGCAAACTGATGCRAGCCAGGTACTGGATACAGGGAAACTGCCTCAGGCTGTGCTAGGTTTAAGAAACGATAGTACCTGCGTCAACTAAGCAATTTATAAACATCCTTTGTAGGGTTCATGAGAGAGAGGAACAAACCGTTTGTCTGGGCTCTCACCTAAGCTAGTAGAGTGCCCTGCAAGGCTACCTATGGATGGAGGGTTGTATTGCAAATCCTGGCAGGTCTTCAGTCATCGCTCATAATCTTACTTGATACCTTCTGTGAATAACAATCTTCCTTCAGGTTTCTGTCTGTGTCTCTACTGTGGATTATGGGGTTAATTGCTTCATTTCTCTCTGATTAGGAGACTCAAGACTAACACYTTTTGAAAGACTGTTCCTGTGGGCTGCAAGTAAACCATCTGCTGTACAGTTAGAGGCCTCTTTGTGTCTGGGCAGATGGAGGAAAGAGCAAAGAGGACAAGTCTGTGAGATAACCTAGTTTTTGTGTTTTTTATTTTAAGCACTGGATAACTAAAGCACTCCATATAGTTAAATACTAATTTGTTTTAAACTTACCTGTTAAAAGTTACCCTTCTCTACCTTCCCCCTAGACCCCTACAGTTAAAATCAAGTATTTTTGTGTCACTTTTTTGCCCTTTCTAAACTATTTCAAGAGTCCTGTTATCACTGAACATGATCTTAAAAGCTCTCAGGGTTTTTAACCTATATATGCATTATAGAAAGATAAAGCCCTGAATGCTTTAGCAGGGTTGGTCGATCTTTGCATAAAGATATTTAAAAGGAGAATAAATTGCAGCCCTGGAATGCACAGGGCTGGCTGCCTAGAGTGCAGGTATGACCTCCTTATGCTGTCATACTTAAGATTATCAAAGGGCACTTAACAATGTATGTCCTCAGACAAGCTAACAACTTCAAAGCTAGAAATTATTGCCTATCTTCCATAAACATTGTTTCATATAAGCAAACAAGATTTCTTACTTTCCTAATTGGTTTTATGGCAAAGATGGAGTGGAAAAATACTGCTTTTTAACACTGTGAAAAGAATCTATTTTAAAAGCTGCAAGGTATAACTTCATGCTTTTTTTTTTTTTTTTTTTTTCCCCCTCTTTCTCCTCCCCCTCAGTTCTTGTGTATTCATCCTTGGTAACTGGTAAGGGCCACATATCACTAAACTTGGAAAACAAACAAACAAAATACCTTCCGTAAAAACATTAGGATAAAGATGCTGGAGTTCCTGGACATTCAAATAATGCTTTTTTCTTTTTTTAAAGTGGCCTACAGAGATCATGACCATTACTGTTTTACAAACCTAAGATGAGGTATAGGTAGCACAATTTCTATAAGTTAATATATCTGCTATTGACTGTACTCAGCAATACCTCTTATATACAGCCTTAAACATCAAACGTAGCGGGAATGGCATGGTAATTGGGAGTCTGGGATTATACTGTATTACTTCTTAAAAGTGCCATGGAATTAATCTGTGTTCCAGTCAGACTAAAAGAAGTTTAAAACTAGTTTCTCATCTGAGGATCACCATTCCTAGTAAAACAGCACTCTTATTATATTGAAGTGTAGCATAGGCTAATAATCAAATGGCTGATCCTCAGTAGAGAATAGCTGTTCATGTGTGGAGTAAGTATCTCTTCCAATGCAGCTCTTTTCCACAAGGTTTGCCATGAGGCTGAGATTATGCTTCCTACTAAGTGTAGTACTGTGTGTGTGTTTGGGGAGGGGCGGGGGGGAGAGGGAAGGGATAAGGCTGCTATTGTATTGTTAAAATGCTAAACAGGTATGACCAAAGGTGTGTTAGAGCAAAAAATGTTTTGTATGTTACTATCAAAAGTTGGTCTTGATCTTCAGATATGTGTATATAGAAACCACCAAGTTCCTTATTGTAGACATTACACTGATGGACTGTAAAAAAGTGTTCACCTTGCAAAACATTTTCAGAAATCCACATACCCTCAAGTAGCAAAAGCAAGGTGATTCTGTGAACGAAGCTTTCACAATTGAGTTTTATACTACTGTACTTGACTGTTACATGGACTGTTAGATGGATAGCTATGAAGTAAGCAATGGAAATGGAGTCAGGGCATTACACCTTTCAAGCTGTAGCAAATATTCTTAGGTCTAAAAATGTATTTTTTTTTTTGTATTATTATTATTATTATTATTGTTATTATTCAGGTTCCTGGGGCAGAAAATAGGTTTGCATGGGAAGAAAAACTGTTTTTCCTCTTAAGTAACCTGCTTTCAGAATCGTTTTGAGCTATGTAAAAACGTGGTAGTTACACCTTACACTTGCATTCTGGCTTCAGGCAGAATCTTCTGCGTAATTCAAACATTTTGATAATGTATTACTAATTATATGGAAACACGTTATGGAAACACGTTATAGCTCTAACATCAAAAAGAAGATAAATGTGGAGAATAAGAGTTTGCAGAGCCAGGTCAACATGCTGTAAGGGACTAGCGAATGCATTAACTGTATAATCAATATGGACATGATAAAGAAAAAGGCCTTCTGCCAGAGAAAGGAATAAAACTGTGTAAATGTTACAAAGAGTGGTAAGAAAATGGACAGTATTGAGAGCTTTGTCTATCTGAGAAGTTTCTCATGGAATTATGAAGCTGCAAAGAGAATACAGCATATTGAAGTAGCTATGGTGAACTGAAGTTGATATGAAGAGACAAGGGATTCTCCTACAAAATGAAAAATGGTTTGGTCAAAATATACAGGTTTTGAAATAACTTGGTGCTGTGGTGATGTCGACTTCTGAGAAGGATGAAACTGCTGACTTTTCAGATAAAAGGTAACTTGTGGTCATTGGTGAGACATGGCAGAAATAAGCAGGAAAAAGAAGACATGCAAAAGACTGCTTCTTCAATGACAATGGATGCATCTGTTGGATGAAGAGTGACTTCTTACCAATGTCTATGCTTCTGGCCTGGCAAAAGGTTATGGAGCAAAAGACTTAGCAGGAGATGGCTACGTGACTCTAGAAGCATTGGAGGTCTAAGATGCAGTACGCTGATGGCGCAGTACGAAGTACACTGGTGGTAGTTTATGTAAAATCTGTTTCCCATTTGGSGGCAAACGAGTAAAGAATATAGAAGAGGTGTTAGGGAAAAAACATCTAATATCTAAGAGGCTAATACCTCTTGTTTGAATTATGGATTAAAGTGGAAGGGTTATTATAAATCAAATATCCAGAGGCAGCTTGATTGTAGAATAAGATGAACTTAATTGTCCATGTATGTAAAATTCTGTCTTTGTTGCAATGTTCTGATTAGTGAAAGGTTAGATCCATTGGTTGTTGCTACTGATGCTACATACTCAGATGAGGACTAAGGCAGTTTCATAATCTGTGTGTTGATGTGTAGAATACTATTTGCTGGTAAGTGGATAGTCTCACAATTTAATGTGCTGTAAAACTTCCTGCATATCCTTAAAATAGCTGAAGTCTATTACAAAAATACTTTTAACTCCTTGAATATATTTTAGGGTTTTTTTATTATTTTCTCATTCTATTTATTTATTTGATATAGGAGAATTCTTAGAACACTTAGATTTGCCAGAGGTTTAGGTTTACTGCCTTTCTGGATGGTTGGTAGCTCATGTAGCATATATTCCTAGAGAAAAAGATGCAGCTACGCACCCTCCTACGTAGATCAGGGAAGAGTCTTTCCTTTATTTATTTTTCTTTTAGAAGAAATGTTTTTGCAGTTTAGTAACCGATGTAATGGAAATGTCAGTCTTTCTCCCTTAGCTTTTCAGCAAAAGTTAGATAGCTGCCGCTGAAATAATGTAAAAAATGGATTTGCATGGGGCTGTTTTTGGTTCTGGAGTTGTGGGGAGGAGAAGTGAGGCAGGAGAATCAAAATGCGAGACAAGCAGAGGGTTAAAATCTAAACTCGTGATGAACCTTGATTTAAGAAAAAAAAAAATGTAGGGGGGTGAGAGACAGTTGGCTCTTGGTAAAGGCCGAGAAGGTGGAAGGAAGGTTTCTTTTCTTTTCCCCCGCGGGGCCTGTACGAGTCGGGACGAGCATTAGCTACCTCTAGGGTGCCGAGGCAGGAGTCCTTTCACGGGTACTTTCACCAAAGCAGGCGGGCGGGCGCCCCCCCGCTGTAGCAGTGCCAAGCGCTCAATAAACGTGCTGCTAACTCTGCTCTCGCCTCTCATTTCGCGCGCGGGCCGGGCCGGGGCGGGCCGGCTGCCCCGGAAAGCGGCGGCGTTTCCGGGGCGGCGGCGGGGAGCGCTGCCGGGGCGCGGCGCGGCGCGGCGCGGGGCGGCCATGGCCGGCGACTCGGAGGTGCTGCGCTTCCAGTTCGCGCAGCAGGGCGACGCGGTGCTGCAGCGCATGAACCTGCTGCGCCAGCAGAACCTCTTCTGCGACGTCTCCGTCTACATCAACGACACCGAGTTCCCCGGGCACAAGGTGATCCTCGCCGCCTGCTCCGCCTTCATGCGCGACCAGTTCCTGCTGAACCAGTCGCGCCAGGTGCGCATCAGCATCCTGCAGAGCGCCGAGGTGGGCAGGAAGCTGCTGCTCTCCTGCTACACGGGCGCGCTGGAGGTCAAGAAGAAGGAGCTGCTCAAGTACCTGACGGCCGCCAGCTACCTGCAGATGGTGCACATCGTGGAGAAGTGCACCGAGGCGCTCTCCAAGTACCTGGAAATCGACGCGGCCGTGGAGAGCGGCGAGCGGGACGCCGAGACGTGTCACTCTTCGGACGCCGAGCTGAGGAGCGGCGACGATGCCCTGGACAAGGACTGTGAAATCATCGAGATCGCCGAAGACAGCCCGGTTAGTTTGGAGTGCACCGTGAAACGGGAGAAGGGGGATATCTCACGGCCCGTGGTGCAGAGCGTAACATCAGAAAGGAAGGAGGCCAAATCCCCAGAAATAGCAGCGGTTGAAATAGGTTATAAGGATGATGAAATCTGTATCTTCAGAATGGATTCTGTGAGTGCAGCTAATGTAGAAAATGATCATTTTYCCCAGCCATGTACTTCCTCCAAGAGCAGTTTATATTTTCCAGAAACGCAGCATTCTCTGATAAATTCTACAGTAGAAAGCAGAAATTCAGAAATGTCAGGAAATCACTTTCAGGCTTTTGTCAATGATAACACAGAAGGGACTTCAAGCGGGATGAATGGCGTTCAGAATGTGGATGATCCTGGTAATTCATGGCGGCACCAATGCCCAAAGTGTCCAAGGGGGTTTCTGCATCTTGAGAACTACCTTAGACATCTGAAAATGCACAAACTCTTCCTGTGCTTGCAGTGTGGCAAAACATTTACACAGAAAAAGAATCTCAACAGACACATCCGGGGACACATGGGAATCCGCCCCTTCCAGTGCATGGTTTGCTTGAAGACGTTTACTGCCAAAAGTACGCTCCAGGACCACCTGAACATCCACAGCGGGGACCGGCCCTACAAGTGTCACTGCTGTGACATGGACTTCAAACACAAGTCTGCTCTTAAAAAGCACCTGACGTCTGTTCATGGAAGGAGTAGCAGTGAAAAAACAAACCTGAACGGTATTACAAAAGTGAAAATAGACTACGATTAATGGATGGGCAGATGCGGAGCTAGGCTCCACCAGATGCTTCTGTCTTGTGTTATTCTCTATGTTCAACAGAGCTACACCTTGCCAGAGAGAAGGACAAATATGTGATGGGTGACCAGAGACGGGCCTTGCTAGTAGTAAACTTGCCTGTTATATTAAGGCTRCTGTTGATGTAAGTGTTCAGAAGCTGTTTAGTAGTTGAAAGTAARCCACAAAATGTGAGAAATGATTTTATGCTTCTCTTTGACTATCCCTGATGTGGATATCTGTTCCGTTGTTTGTTTTGTTTTGTTTTTTTTCCCCAATCAGGTTTTGCAGTCCACTGTTTTGAGGGCAAGTGCTGCCAATTTTCAAAGTATTGTTGATATTGCAATAAGCTGAAGCCTGAGCCACAATGTTCCTGATCCACAATGGCTAAGGAAAGGGGATGTTTGTATTTATTCAATCACCTGTATCCATTTCATGTACCATGTCATGGTGAAATCAGCTCTGTACTTGACGAAATTTTGCTGATTCTTTAAAAAAAAAAAAAAAAAGGCATGCTGTCTGATTCAAGTCTGTGATATTAAGAAGCAAGCAAGCTACAGTTAAGGAAGCTTTGAAACGGCCTTGTACAACTAGAGAACTGGTAAATAACAAAAGCAAATGCTACTGCTTTGCAATTCCTTTTTAACTGCATAGTCCCATTAGAAAGACTTGCATTCAGTTTATGAATCAGTTGTGAATTTTTCTAAACTTCTTTCTTCTGATCACATTTCTCCTGTCATGTTGGTATTACCACCCTCATTTGACTAATTATAAGTTAGTCCTATTTACTAYGTTGTATTGTTACATTTGTCTTTTTTTAAATATATGTATAAATTCTAGATATCCACACTAATGTGAAAACTTGAACCGTGCACTGTTAAGTAATAGCATTTTCTATATTCATTTTGAAAGTCATTCTTTATATCTTAAAAGGAAGAGTTTAGACGTAGTGATTTTCTCATGCTCTAATTCTTTGTGTGATGCAGTAAAACGGTACTGTGCGTGCTTGGGTAGGTATGTTTGTACTTTGTCAAGGGTCATTTCAGTGTCATCAGAAGCATCGAAAGTCCTGTAACTCATCATTTTTATCTTATACCTGTTTTTGGCTGGTATATGTTACTTCACTTAATGTGATACAAATGAACTGTCAGTTCAGTTACTGTATGAGAGTAATGCTACTTACATTAGACTCTGTCCAACTAGCAGAAGCAGTAGCTCRTAATCTGGTCTGTGTCACAAACCTTGCCTCAGTTTTCGGAAGTGCTCTTGTGAAGTTCTAGCTCTGAGCACTTGAGCTGCAGACATCTGGCACTTGTGCTGCATATCTTTGCTGTTTTTTAAAATATAAAATAACAGTTTTAATTTCAGTTGCTGAGTTTAACTTCTTTACCATACATGTATCTGTGAGTGCATTGGGCATTAGTGTTTTATTGAAGGTTTGAGTACATTTGTTATATACTGTGCTGTTCCCTATTGTTAGCTATARTAGGAATGATCAGTTCTGCCAGTGTTACTACTGTTTTATCTATTGGAAGCATCAATTGAAGAGTTTTAAGGGTGGATTTTTAAGCTCTTCATTTGATATCATTCAGTGCTTTATTAATAAATATGTATTATTCGGATTGAGGTGTTATTTGCAGGACCCAGTTGGACTAGGGTTGGTTGTGTATGTAGTTAGTCCAGATAGACAAGTCATACACTCGTGCTATATTCCTTCAAAAATTTGCCCCAAAATGCTTGACTTTACAGGTACCATTGACTTCTGAAAGACTCTTTCATGGTGCTGATTCATTGGAAAGGTGTGAATGCAAAGTCTGCATGCCAGTGTGCCCCTATGAACGGTAACAAAAATGACACACCCAGGGTGGTAGTGTAACTATGGATTCAAATTACCTATTGAACCTAGAGCTTTAAGTGTATAGGTCAACCTTTCACAGTCTGTGCTCTAACATTGTATTAAAAGTTGATCATTTGTTTTATTTTGGTGATTTTAGCTAAAGATAACTGCCATGGTAATATCTGTGAATCATCTCCTTCACGGTGTGGTTGCTTTGCATTTTGGAACAGTTGCATTTTATAGCGCTCTCCTTTGTTTGCGATCATCAATGTTTACAGTCTTTTTGCCCTTTTGATTAGCACTGAGTTGGCTTTTATTTCACAAAATACTATTAACTTCTAGTTCTTAATTAAGAATTAACAAGAGCAACAAAATTAAGAACCAGACTTTAAAAATCATGCTAACATCATACAGCTGCAATTCCTATATTTACGGAGGTTTACTTGGATATATGTACACCTGTGTATATAGCTTTTCATTTCATTGCTTATTTTAAATAAAGTCCTTCATCTCTGAAAGAAGTAAAAAGTTCATTTCCCTCCCCCTATTCTTTCTAAACTGGGCTGCTGTTACTGTAGTTCAATAAATAAGTGTATTGTGCAGTTATGGGACAGACTTAGTTTAACCATGCTTGAACTTGTTCAGCTAATAAGCATTTTGGCAAGTGTGTGGTTCACATTGTCAGCACTTCATGTGATCATTCCTTGCATTTTGTGTGACCGATTCTCTCGGGTGTGTGCATGGAAGSTTTCCTGTATGACACAGTGGGGATGACAGGCTGATCTCTTGAAGGGCATCTTCGGTGGGAGCCGGACCGCTAGATTGTCCATGCGCTCTTTTAGTGCATGTGAACATGCGAGGAGTGGGGCTGTGCAATCGGCCACCCACATGCTCTGGTCCATGGCTCAAGTGTCTTGATAAGCCGTGTTATCAAACTTGGTTTTTTGTGTGTATGTTCGCATAAGAAGTGTTTTCTCTTCCCTTTCCTTGTGTGTAACGGCTTGTCTAGTCATAACACAATAAATGCAAGACATTTTAGAACTACCTATGCTTTCTTCTAACCTCCCCAGAACAAYTTTTTGCCTACTTTAATTGTTTTGACTGGAGAGGGTGAGCAAACAAAATGCGAACACAACATCGTGTTCAACGGGCACTCACTGGTAATGTGCATTTTCATCCCCCAAATCATCCTGTGAGCAGTCATCAGGCAGCCACGTGCCTTATTCAAAAAGCTCCCATTTCCACCCTGTCTCAGCCTTGATTTAAACCTGTTCCCAGGCCTCCTGGGGACAGAGGAAGGAGGCGCCGCCGCCGCCAGGCCCTTCTCCATGGCCGCCTGGGACGGAGCCGCAACTGAGAGGCATCCAGCCGCTCCTGCATCCCCGCGGTGGAGCAGCGTGTCCTGCGGCAGCGCCGAGGCTCCGCGCTCACTTCGGCCTCGCCGCCCTTCCTCACACCGGGTTCGTGAGGCGCCTTCGCCTTCTACCGGCCCGGCCGCCATGCAGGCGCTGTCAGCGCGCACGACATGGCCTGAGGCGGCCTCTGCTCTCCTCGTGGCTGAGAGCACTGAAGGTGCTAACGTTATTCATTAAAAAATAAAATAAATGTTGGGAGTATACAATAAGGCGAGGGGTAAATGGCGGGGAGGGCGTGAGGCCGCCGAGGCGGGGGGAGCGCGCAGCGCCGCGGCCCGCTCCGCCCCGCCGCCTCTATGGTGCCGCCTCTATGGTGCCGCCCCCGGGCGCCGCCTCTGCGCACGCGCCGCCCCG